TTTTTTTTTTTTTTTTTTTTTTTTTTTTTACTTGCGCAGGTGAGATGAGTCTTTCTAGGTAGCTCAGGCTAGCTGTGAACTTACTATGTATCCCAGTAACTTTTGATCCTCCTCACCTCAGCTTCCTGAATGCTAGGATTACAGACATGCACCACTGTGCCTGCCTCCGTGATGCTTTAATCAATATGCTCTGGGGTGGGCTGTGGTGGTATACACCTGTTATCCTAGCATTCTGGGAACCAGAGTGAGGAGGATCCCAAGTTCAAACCCATCCTGGGCAAAGCAGCAAGACCCTGTTTCAAGATTTTTTTAAAAAGGGCTGGGGATCTTGCTCAGTGAGAAGACCTTGACTTCAATACCCTGTATTCAAAATAAAGAAACATATCCTATGTAAAGTTAAGATTAAACACAAAAATAAACAAAACAGAAAAATACAAGAGCATTATGGAAAAGACAGTGCTGGCAGCCCCTAGAGATCAGGCCTGGCTGCAGGGCTGGGCCAGGCTCCCTCACCTGGCTAACCCCTCGGAAAAAGGCCTCCTCAGCCAGGCGGGCTGGCCCGTCCACTGTCTTGCCATCGTCCTCGGGGCCCCAGCTGGCACTGTAGATGTGGATGTGGTTGGGGTTCAGGCCCAGTGAGCGTGCCTCCACTGCGTCGGTCACCTCGCCGTCCAGCATGCGCACCCCTGGCCAAGAGGGAGGAGGGAAGAGGGTGCTGCGTGGGTCCGGCTGCTAGGGGCACCTTCAAGGAATGCCCAGCTCTCCTCACTGGAAATCCCTGAGCCCTAACATCTGCTTCTGCCTTTGCAGCCAAGAGCCAAAAGGTTCTCCCCAGCTACCCAGGCTAGACTGGAAGAATCTCAGGTCTAGGGGGCAAGGGGATGAAGGCCTGCCTATGTAGCGACTCCATGGAGTGTGAGCACTTAGGAGACTCCTGCTAAGAGATATCCACCCCAACCTGCAGCACCACCAGCCCTGGGAGGCCAGCTCTCTGGATCACTCTGAACCCCAGTGGAATATCCAGGCGGTCAGAAGGATTCACAGTGGGAAGGTGACAGTCACTGGCCAGATGGGAAGCAGGCAGACAGAAGTCCCACTGGATGTCCCTCCCATCTCCACCGGTGGACAGAGAAGCCAAGGCCCACACCCACCTCCAATGTGGGCATTGTAGGCCACACCCACACCACAGACACCGTTGTTGGCCACAGCAGCCACTTCACCCGCACATCGTGTACCATGCCTGCCAGGACCAGGAGCACAGCATTAGTGGCGTGGACAGAGCGCAGCAGACACGGCCCAGGGAGCAGGAAGGATCAACATACCCCTCTAGCCATGCCCACCCCCTACTCTGCTGGACGGGGCCATCTCTCTCAGAGTCCCAGCTGGACCAGGAGTGTGGACAAAGATGTGAGCCTCCTGGGTGGGGACATGTGGCACCCAGGCTCAACCCTGAGTTCTTGGCGGGAGGGAAGGGGAGGGATGCAGAGGTCTGGGAATGGCCGCTCTTACCTGTTGTCGTTCATCTGTGTGTACCGGGGCTGGGGGTCGGGGTCTTGGTCGTTGACATCAAAACTGGCTCCAGGATCCTGGAAAGGACATGGCTGTTGTCAGGAGCATCCTGACTGCACTGGGAGAACAGTACGCCCCAGCCGCCCCTCTCCCTCCGCCGCTCTCTCCCTCCTGCCTCCTCACATAGTTGCCTGCCAAGTCTGGGTGGTTCTTCTCAATGCCGTCGTCCAGGATGGAGACCACAATGCCACGCCCCGTATAGCCCTGAGCCCAGGCTTCCTTTACATTCAGGTCCCGCTGAGTGACACCAGACTGCAGAGACACCACCCGTCACTTAGAAGATGTGTTTGGTTAGGTGAGTATAAGGCTAACTTGAAGAATCTTTTACCCCCTGAATTCCCTTTCTGCATCCATCCTGGCTCTTTAAGTGCCACTGTTGGTTTTGTGGCCTCCCAGGAAATGCACAGAGCTGGGGGGGGTCCCCCCAAGGCTTGTCAGGAGGGGTGTAGGAGGGTATAGGAAGAGACAGCCCTCAGAAGGACAGCAAAAAAGCCTCACAGTCAGCCTAACCCCCACAGGACCTCACAGAGGAGGACCAGGGCCCCAGGCATACCAGGTACCACTGCTGGGGAAACTTGGGGTCCGTGGGCTCCTGGTATATGTCCCGTTTGGTCCGGCGCTTTGCCACCTGCTGCTCTAGCCACCTTACCTGGGAGGGAATTGAGGAAGGGAGTGTGGGTGGGGGACCGGGAAGCAAGAGGGGATCAGGGAACAGGGAGAGGAGGAGGCAGTGGGAGGGGCGGGTCCAGACTCACTTGAGGCTCCCTCTGCAGACGGCTGTGCCGAGGGCGGTGAGGCGACAGGGACCGCTTTGTCACTGCTCTATGCCAGAAGTGGTAATAGTCGCCAAAGATCTGCAGTGAAGCAGGGAGCCTGAGATGGGCCTTCCATCTGTCAGTCCCTGGGAGGCAGCGATGGGGGTGGGCAGCGGCTGCAAGGGCAGGCTTGCAATGGCAGAGAGTAGGGGGCATCTGTTCCCTGCCCAGGACCCAGCGCGAACACACAGGGGACAAAGGTGGGCCTTGCCCTCACTGGGACAGGCTGCTTGTCTGACCAGCCAGGCTCCCATCCCAGTGCTACCAGATGACGGAAGAAGCCAGCCCCAACTTTTCCTGCTCCTTGGTGCCAGTATCCTTTCCCTCCCAAGGTCCCCTCCTGGGTAACATCCCCTTCCTGGGCCAGCAGGCCACCTACCTGGCCCAGGTTGTGGAACCCATGCTTTCGGGCCACGCTATCAGCCACGGCCAGGCCTCCAGGGATGTGCACAGCCCACGTGTTGGTAAAGATCTTCTGACCACGGGCATCAGCGGCCAGCAGGACTAAGGCTCCTGCTGCTGCTACCACCCATAGCAACCAGGGCCTCAGCTCCATGGGGGGCAGGTGGCCGACTGTGGAGCTCCTCCCTCCCTGGCCTGGTCACAGGGCCTCAGCTCCTGAGTGTCTGCTGCTCAACGCCTGTAGCCCGGGGCTGACTGGCGGGGGCATGGGGCTGAGATGGGCAGGGCTAGCAGGAAGGATGAGGGCTGCCGGCTCTGTGAGGAACAAGGAGAGAAAGGGGAGCCAGCCAGTCAGTCCTTCTGAAGCCATGAACTAAGCCTGCCCTTCCTAACCCGACAGAACAAGACGAGTCCTCCCCAGAAGGAATCAGTGTCTCCAAGGGCAGCCAGACAGACAGACACATGACCCCCACATGCCTCCAAGCCTGTCTCCACCAAGAACACAACTGTAACCAGAAGGGGGCTGAAGAGTATCAAAGGCTTGAGTCACTCAAAATCAGAAATAAAAGACCTTGCCAAAATAAAAGTTAAAAAGATGCATTATTTAAAAAATGCATTATAAAGCAACATGTACACATGATCCCACTTTGTTTTAAAAAAACTATTTATACATGAATATTTATACATAATCAAAAAGAAAATCTGGAAGGACACACGCTAAAATGTTAACAATGGCTCTTTCAAGATGCTGAGAATTACAAGTAATTGTTATTTTCTTCTTTGTGTCATTGTATGCTTTGCACAAAACCTAGGTATATTTTATGTAGGAATAAAACACTGGATTTTTAAAGTTTTTGTTTGTTTGTTTTGGTTTTTTGAGACAGGGTCTCACTATGTAGTTGAGACTGACCTGGAACTCACTATGTAGCTCAGGCTGGTCTCGAACTCACAGCAATCCTCCTGCCTCAGCCTCCCGAGTGCTGGGATTACAGGCATGCGCCACCATGCCCAGCTAGCTTTTTAAAGTTTTTAAAAGAACTCATTAGGGTTTCCTGGTTCAGTAAAAGAGACTCAGCCATAATGTATTATCTGCAAAGCCTCACAGCCAGAAAACAGTGGGCAACCTGAGTTGGGGTAGGGTTTAGGGGACAGTGCTCTGAGTACAGAGGACCCCTCCAGGGCTGAGATGGCAGCCATGGGCAGAGCCAGAGTCCCAGGCTCTCTTTGGTGTTTCCTGGGGAACACAAGCTGACCAGCCCTTCCCGAGATCCCCCACATCCCCTCTTGCTTGCTCCGTGCCTGCTACCTTGCATAACCAGAGCCCACAGCCAGGGCAAACACTGCTGAGCTAGGAGCACCAAGGTGAGGCTGAATCAATAGTCCCGGTGTTGTTTTTCCTCCTTCAGCAAACAGACAGTGGGACCTCTCTGCCTAGGGCCATATAACTGTCCCCACACAGGGCCTCTGAGTAGCCAGAAGTCAAGTCTCTGGGCTAGGCAGCAGCTGGGAAGTCCCTCCCACTTTCAAACTCCTTCAGTGGATCTGTGCCTGTGCACAAGGCCTAGATGACCCTACCATTTTCACAGCCTCAAAGGGGGCCACTTTGTGGACAGTGCAGTGAAGGTGGTATAGCAAAGGTGACCCAGCTCACAGAGGTCCCGGGGAGCCAGGTGGGCAGGCTCACTCATCCAGGAACAGCCTCGGACACAACCACCTCCCTGGTCTCTGCGGGCCCACGCTACAGGCTGGGGGACCCCACACACCATTCCTGGAGTATTTTCAGTTTACACCAAAATAACCTGACAGCTGATGGCGGGAGACAACCACCAGGCAGCTCCTCCACAGCCCTGACGGGCAGCCATGCAGGGCTCCAGGACAAGCAAGGGTCGGCAGATCAGAGAGCCACAGCCCCTGGACAACTAAGGCAGCTACAGCTGGCCTGAGCAATGGCTGGGCAGCCTGATGCCCAAGCCTTAGGGGACAAGAGCACCCAAAACCCCGGTCTAAAGCTATAGGGACCAGGACCTCTTCACCTCTTCTTGCCACATAGCTGCCTCAGGAGTCCAAATGTCAAGCAGAGCTCCCTGACCACAGTGCTGTAGCCACACTGTGCTTCCAGTCAAGGCCAGGATCGCCTGGGTCTGGCCCGGGTCTGGCCCAGGTCTTAGTAAATGGTAGAGGGAACTGCAGCTGTTTGGCTTTAAAGGTGATTAACCAACTATTTAATTACCTTGCAGCACCTGGAAAGAAAGTGAGCTTCAGGCACAACTGAACAGTCTCCCAAGAAAGAAGGCCTGCCCCCCTCTACCCAGTGTACCCAGCCATAGGAAGGGGTGGTTTGGGCTTCCAGAGGCCCGGACACCCCACCATCACCACCCGGCTCTGTCTTAGCATCCAGGACAGAGGGAGGACCCCCACATACACACAAAGCAAGAGCTGAGAACAATGAATGAATGGACTCCTCCCCACCCCCACCCCAGACTCTGACTCACA